AAATGGACCAAAGTCTCCAACATTTGTCTGGTTTTGATGATGGGTCAGTTTCTCCTGTGTTAAAGGAGCCAATAAGAGTCCACATGCATTTATTAAGGCAGATACAGGACAGACAAATGCAGTAAAAAACGTTTTAGCAAATTAAAAGGTTGAAGATTGCCCAAAATAATAAAAAAACAAGTGCGATATGGACTGCTGGGGAATATTTCTGGAGGCAAATGAGTGTATCGGTGATGCAACAGATGTAAGTATTAAGTTGCCGTCATCAAAACTAAAGGCGACGTTTGGTAGAGTTAGTTTATTAGAAACACCCACAGACATGTTAAATATTTTGTTTGTTTTATTAGGAAAAGGATAATAATAATAAACTTTATTTTTAATATCATATTTCAAAAACCAAGTTACAAAGTGCTTTAGAATAGAACCAGAGCTTATGATATAAACATGATAAAATAATATAAATAAATATAATTACCATCAGTTCGGTAAAGCTAAATAAAGAGAGTGTAAAAAAGAGATTTAAAAGATAAGGATGATGTGATCGCCTTTTCCATTATGTGTCATTTGATAGGTTCATGAAATGAAATGAAATGAAATGAAAAATACTTTATTTATCCCAGAAGGGAAATTCAATCTTGTAAAAGCTCTTTTTTTTTTTTTTTTAAATCAATATAACATATATTTATATACAACAATAATAATCATTCAGTCAGTTGGATTTGTTTTTTAAAGATATATGAATGAACATAAAGTTTTTAGCAGCTGAAACCAACCCTCGACCCGGAGAGCATTTATAAAACAAGCATTGGCTAAAAAGTGAGTTTAGTTGTAAAAGACAAATATGCTCCAACCAGAACATAACCACTGAGTCATTAACTTAGATCAATAGGTCTAATGCCCCACTATAATAGTGTATTATATGGACATTTAAACTAAAAACTTTACCAGCTACTTCTTTAAAAAGCAGAAAATGTGCTTTAGATTAAGATCAGAGATTCTTTTAAATGTCTTTTGTGCCCTTGAGCATATCTGAGTGCTAATGGAGGCCATTTTTCTGCCTGCGCAGGTTGATTTACGGCTGATGGTTATGGATTAAGATAACTCTCTGCTAAAAATAACTGCGCTCACAGTGACATGCTTTGTGTGAAAGCCACTATTAAAGGTGACGGTACTGTACCTGTCTGGCTGATATGGTGGCCGCCTTGTCTTCGCCCAGCACGGCAGAATAATAATTCAGGTTCTGGTTCATCACCTCGTCTTCGGGGTGGAACATCAGGTAGGTCTTAGCGCACTCGATGGCCTGCTCGTATTTCTCACCTGCAGAGAGGGGGACAGAGTACGATGCATATTATCAGGTGTTGTTGTTGCATTTTGGTCCATGAAGATCTACGTTTCCAACCAAGGTGTGTTTCAGTTTTTTTAAAGAAGCATCATCATCATCATCATCATCATCATCATCATCATCATCATCATGTGATAACCGGTTTATGATTCTGTTAAATCTGAAGACAGATCAGTGGAATATTTTTTTTTATCTCTAACTGAAGACTATAGCTCAATATAAAGGAGTCTGTTTTGAAAGTTGACCTTAAAAGGAAGGTTTAAGGCTAATTTATGGGATGTGTTTTGAATCCTGCAGGATGAAGCACAGGACGCTCTAGTTTGCACACTTTTTCTTTTTACTTTTAGTACCTACTGCAGTCGCCTGTACGTAGTATTTACTGTTTCATGCAGTCTGCAGTGAACTGAGGCACACATCTCTGTCATAATGATGGTCTGTAAACTCAGTCTGTGATGCAAAATGATCTGTCGAATGTGATCTCGGCAGCTTAAGCTTGTGTATCACGCGGCATGCAAGGGGCACAGATGATGTGCAGAAGATTGTGGGTCAGATTGGTCAGATGCTGGCTTCCATGCTGCAAAATCAGCTGGATGTAGTAGAACATCGTGGTACTTTTGGCACACTACATTTGATCCCGTATGTGTCGTGGTATTTCTTTTTTTTTGGGTGTTGCACAGCAAATCTTGTTGTACTGTTGGGTACAATGACAGTAAAGTTTTCTGGCTGACATACTATGTATTACTTAATCTTTATCTCATATACTGTATAGCATAGTAAAATGGATATCTAATATAAAACTGCTGTCTGTCTGTGAGATAATGAAGAAAAAAGATATCACTGCACATACAAGATTTTACATTTTATCTCTTGACTGGAAGAAAACTTGTTTATTATCTTATTGTCTAATCACATTTTGAAATGCAAAAAAACCCAAAAAAATCCATTGGTAACCATGTGTGATAGATGTTTTCATGGTGAACTACTCTCCATCTTATTCCTTCTTCCAATGCTCAATGCTGATTGGTTGTTAGCTATACATCTGAGAAGGTTTTAACCATTTCAGAGTCGTCTGTTCTGTACAGACGTCACACTGATGAAGGCTTGATGGCTTCATAAGAGGCTCTGTGTGTTAAAAAATATATCTGATCATAGCTGAAGCTCACTGTATGTTGATTGTTTTTAAGGGGAGTGAATAAAGGCCCACATTCTGCAGAAAAGGCTGAGACTCACTGTTGTAGTAGGAGAACTGCAGGTAGTTGAAGTGCGAGGGCAAGAAATCCTCAAAGGGCTTGTCTCTGCCGGCGGTGGAGGCCAACTCCACGGAGCAGTGCTGCTTACAGTTCAGCACCTGCATGTAGTGGTCTGATGCACACACACAATCACATTCACACAAATCGTTATCGTAGTAGCACAAAGCATTTCATACAGGGTTCCCAGCAAACCGAGGACGAGCTGCCTCACCAGTCACACTCTGGAACAGGTCTGCGCTGTACTCCATGTAGTTGTATCCGTCGTAGTTGTAGGATCCCTCACACAGAGCTCTGCACTCCTTGTTGGCTGTGAAATACTCCTCCACGGCCGCCTCGAAGTGCTGAGCCGCCAGGCCGAAGGAGTCGTCGCTGTAGTAGCTCTTCCCCGCAAGAAACTCAGCCTGATGAGAGACAGAGAAAGCATCACTGCTGGTGCAATATGATATAAAAATCTTCTGTCAAAATTTAAAGTTAAATTTGTATGAAGTGAATCAGGGAAACAGAGGAGTTCTGATTCCTCTTCATGGTTCTGCAGAGAATCCATCATGTAGCAAAATATCAAAAGATTTCTGAAATAAACTGAACCAAGCCATTGAAATGTGAGCAAAATGAATAAAAACTACAGATAATCAGGCACCTCTAGAGTCTAGCCAAGAGGCAAAGAGAGCTAAAAGGAATCACACATATCAGAGGAGGAGTTTGCTCTCACCATGTTGGGTCTGGCCTCCAAATCTTTGAAGTCCTCTTCCTGTACTCCTGCCATCATCCTGTAGTACTCCAGGTTCTGTCTCATCTCCATGTGATCCGGGTTGGCCAGGAAGAACGTGTTGGCAGCCGCCACTGCCTTGTCCAGCTTATTGATCTGAAAACCACAGAGCTGTTCAGTTCATCTTGTCCAGTTTAACTGGCCTGGAAAAAAGAAGCTCCAAAATCAACGAGTGAAGGCGCTTAAAAAAAAAATTCACCTTTCCATGAATTTGGCAATCAGACCAAGTGAAAATTCTGTATCACAGCACAGGTCTAAACTGCATGCAGTCACTTTAATTGACAGCCACACATTATAGACTGTATTATATAGACAGTCTATACTTTAAAACCAGTCTATGACAAACACAACATACAAACTGTTACTTAGAGTTGTGTGAAGCCCTTTGGGTGAAGCTTTTGGCACATCTCAGCACCAACATTGGTCCAAAAGCACCAAAAAACACAAAACATCTCCCACATTTACTCTGCTCTACAATTTTACATCTTTTGTGAACCCAGATATTCAGAAAAATACAATTTTACTGTGATCAAGACAAAGACTGGAACAGGTCAAATTAACGAGGCTCACTAATAATGATTTAATCCAAGTTTAGACAAAATGTTAACAAGAGCTAAAGTCTAGTTTGTTGCTTCCAGCTGTGTGAAAGAGGTTTTCCTTTGAGTTTATTAAACAGCTGCAGCATCAGACAGCAGCAGGATCCAAAGAGAGAGAGTGGAGCACAGTAAAGTGTATAGAACAGCAGCAGTAATTCATCATTTACTTATAAACTATCTTCAACATGGAGACGGGATCAATCAAACTGCAAATGACATTGTGTACTGTTCAGTAGCTCAGACAAGTGATTCACAGTTTACCAGCTGCAGTTAAAGCATGTGTTGCATAGCAGCGTCCTCAGGTGAGTCCTGAGCTTCATTACAGGTGTTGAAGAGAAGTTTCAGTGACAACAGAAATCCTAAATAAACTTGGTTATTAGTTAGTTGGACTGTGAGATTAGCTGCAGTTAGTTTATATTTCATTATGTATTATATGATGCTCTGTCTAATCCGGGGCTCCGTCCATCACTGTGGTGAGGACGTCTGAATGAAGCTGTAAAGGAATATTAACATAAAAATGACCTTCCTCTACACGACAGACTCACATCCCTTTAACAGAATGATGAAGCCAGTAATGCTGGGTAGCCGATGTCTGCAAACGGCTTATTTCTCATCTGAAAGTCATAGAGCTCAGTTCAAAAACAGAAAAGGGCCATAAAGAGTTCACACAACTAAGAAACAACCACAAAGCCACATATGCAGGATTATCTTTGTAGTGTCTTTAAGTCTGGATATCTTCCTCCTATATTTGCAGAATGTCTTTGACACAATGTCTTATACCTTCCACATCCACTGATTCACACTGTACAGCAGCTCTATAACAATCCAAGACAGCTGGAACTGTTTAGCTGAAAACAAAGAATCACGTTCAATTAGATTTATGCCTAAAAAGTGCTTCACAACAGCAGCAACTGATAGCAGCACTCTGGGCCTTTAAACCGCTGAATCCTGCTCAGAAGCTGACTCCACCTTAAGACGTGGCACGGCTGTCTTGGTTTTGGGGGGTTGGGGCATTTACAGTAGTCGGCTCCACATCAGCTGCAGCTTTAATTAGATTTCTAAGAAGAAAAAGTTTTCCCTGGGCCTGTTTAGCATGCAGCTACAGTAGACTGTACAGGGTGTGATGCAGCAGTGGCTGCAGCCTCCACGTTCACACATGGAGATGTGTTATCTACCTTAAAATAGGCCACTTGTAAGTAATTATAGGGAGTCCTCTTCTTAAACTCCAGCTCCACTTCTTCACCAACTTGATGCAAAGTTGCTGAACCGAGTTTCTCAGTTTCGCAGGAGTTCACACAATCCGCCCGCTTCAGGATTTTCTGGAAGAAGCCCAGGTCCTCCACAGATCCGGCCCCGGGGATGGGAACTCCAAGGCCGGCCAGAGGCTCGCCGAAAGCGCTCTGATTGGCGCAGCTGATCCGGCACTGAGCCTTCACGTTGCGGACCGTAGCTTTGTTCCTGAGAGCCTTCTCCATGTTCAGGATAACCGACAGCCAGTCCCCCTTGTAGTAGGCTTCCACCGCCGTGTCGAAGAGGAAATCACAAGGCTCCAAAACCGAGTTGCTCAGATTGGAGTCGGACGCGCGAAAAGGCGCAACAACGCCGAGAAATACCAGCGCGTAAAGGAGCTCCATGGCGGTGAAAATGTCCGGGCCCTGCAGAGGGACAGAATCCAGGAGCTGAGGCCGAGGAGCCGGCAGAGAGAGGAGTTGTCACTGCTGCTGTCTCCGGCAGGAACTTGTCTGGAGGTGGGGTTTGAGCAGAAGAGCCCCCCGGTACCACCCCCAGACGCATGGAGCAGCCTTCACCTTTCAGCCTATCACTCCCAAACAATTAATCCAACTTTATTTTGAAAATAAAGATAGCAATTTTGAAATAAAATACAGAAATTAACACATCCAAACAAATGGAACCAATAAAATAAATCACAACTTTACAAACAAATGAGCACAAGTCAAATAATTCAGGCCTTTGTCAGCCTGGTTTGCTGAGGAAGCAGATCAAGTAGACACATTTTCTCATAGACCTCAATACAATCACACTTCTTTTTAGAACAACAGGAGTCCTTAAAGTGCTCAGAATCTGTAAAAGCAGTCAGAGAGCATGTGAGGACACGTTTTGCACAGTGTGAACAAGAATCTTTTCTTGGTATAAATTTGTGTGGAGCCCAAACAAAGTGAACTGTAAGTTAGATAGAGATGTTCCACTCGACTTGAACCACTCATCTACAAATGACAAAAGCAAACAGATCTCAAAAATATGTAATTTATTAAGATTTACATCCCACACAAAACAGCCACATATCTGTTACAGCATCACCATCAGTATGATAAATTCAATTCAATTCAGTGAGGTTTGTTTTAAGATTCTTCTTCTGTATGCTTAAGATAACCACAGAAACCTCCAATGGACCCCAATAACTCTGATGGACATTTGCTTTTTCTGAAGGAACTTCAAGTTCAATTTCCACTGTATAGAATAGAAATATTAACTATTTCGTCACTGGAAAGTAGTTAAAACTGTGCACATTGTGTTCTATTGATTGTCCAGAGTAACAAAGACTGTTTCAGGAAAGCAGAGTTTTTTTTTTAATGTTATGTTTTTTTAATGCTCCACTCACCTCCACTTTATTGGCGGCTTTTCAGAGTTTGGTTTAAATGACACCTATCTAAAGAGTCAGATTCCAGGTCAGACAGTTCTCCTGTTTGTTTTATTTCAGCTGTTTGGGCCGAAACACCTTGTTAAATTAATTTGAAGGGAAAAAAAGTTCAACTGAAGCTGTGTGAACTAACAGAGAACAATAATGAAAGTGTCCAAATGTGCAGGGCTGTAACTAAATACACTACATTGGGAGAACTTTTTATTGACATTATTGATATTATCATTTGTATGTGATTTATGGTCCAGGAAACACTGACATGGCTGGGGTTGAATGATTATGTTTTCACAGATGTTTTATTACGTCAATGATTGGATCAGAAGTAATACCCTCACTGCAAATATTATTGCATTTAGGCAGCAGAAAAGAAAACTGTGCAATAATGCACTTAATAGATTCAAAGGGGGGGGATGTGCATATAAACAAAATGATTTCACTGTGAATCTGTGCAGTTGTTCAGAAAAAAAACAACTTTTGAATAAATAAGCAATTTAATATCACAGTGACACGTCAGAAGGTGTAAATAATCAACGAAGTGTCACCTGCTGTGCCACGTGCGTAAATTGCGCACAGACCGCATCCAGTTTGGATCTTGCTGCTATTAAAACAAAGTCAAAGAAAAGTAAGTGACCTTCACATTTATTTGTTCCCTGCAATAGCGCCTGGAAGTGGGTTTCACGACTTGAACTAACTTGGTCACACGGAGATACAGAAGTTCCTCCTGATTCATTTCTCTTTAATGTTTTCTGGCGACGCTGGGCTGTTCGTGCTGTGCCTGAAACCTTAAACAGTGTTGATAGCGAAATAAAATACACAATTTAAGCGCGTTTTAATAAAAAACGTGACTTACGATTGTCTAAAATCAAACAATCCTAATTAATAAATAAATGTAAATTACAAGGGGTTTTATTTTGGTGTATTTTAAGCAGGCACATTTTTGGACTACTATCATGAGCAAAACGGGGCGGAGATTGAGGACCCCGGCAGCCTCGGTAATTTTAGTTGAATAATAGTTGGTTACAAAACCGGCAGGTGGACCGAGGAGTGGATATATTTGGTAGAGAGAGGAGTTTGTAGGAGAAACAGAAGATGGAGAACATGGACCGGACCGTCAGTTTACCGAACCAGCCCGACAAAACCACCACAGGTAAGAAATAAACAAGTAATGTACCGTAAAACTCATGTCAGACCAGCAGAAGCTAAACTTATGTAACAAAACTCTCCATTCCTGTTGACGCTTGTCTGAAATTAGCCCCGGACATCTCGGTGTTACATTAGTGGTCATTTAATCACGCTGACAGCTAATGTGTGAGTTAGCATTTAGCAGATGGCTGCACTGCATGTGGTGTAAGTCACTGGCTAAGCTGAAGAAGTCATGTTATATCTCAAGCATGGCGTTAGTTTACTGTTTAATAAGCGGAGTTATGGGCTTAAAGATGATAATACTTGCTATACGAAACAGAAAGCCTCCTTTTGCCCCAGAAGTGCTGTAGTGCTGCAACTGGAGCTGCACGATAATGGGAAAGGAACCAAACCAAAACTCGCATGATCTGTTTTTCAACCATTGGGAAAACAAACAAACAAACAAAAAAAAAGCAACTGAGTTTAAACCAGAATACTAGACCAACTCTAGCTGTGTTGGTGATTTAACAACACAACACCTGCACACACTGCTGAGAGAAAACCTGCTTTGAAATAACATCATAATTTAGCTGAAATATTTCCATACAACTGATTTTTACGTTTCCTTTTACCACCAACTTTACAGTGTTTCTCACATGTTGCTGGGTTCATGTGGAGTCTGCATATTAACAAACTCTGTAAATTTAGTAAAGAAAAAGAAAAAAAACCAAAAGCAAATGACCTTTAAATCAGAGTAAATGGATGATAACAAATGGCAAAGTGCTCAGTTCATACTGTGGTTATTACAGGCTACAGGTTTGTAGAGCCAAACACACCTTCATAGTTGTGAGTAAAAAATGAACACAATGTTCTGAGCTGCGTTACTCATTTAGATTTTTTTAAACATTCATATATTATCAAGAGGCCTGACAAAAACTAAAAAAGTCTAGTTTGTGTTGAAAAGGCTGATAACGTTTGTATGACACTTTTTTTTAATGGTAAAAGATCTGACGCAGAAACAGTTGCCAAGAACCCAGATGATTAATAAGTGATTGTTCCATGTGTAAAATAGTGTTAGAAAATAGTGACATGTGCCTATCGAGCTTCCCTAAATCCCCGCTAACATGTTCAGGTTGCTTTTGCAAAACCTGAGACTGGACTTGATTATCATAGATAAACAGGAAAGTGGAAAACACTCACTGGAGGAAAAACAAAACTTAACGATTAATACATTCCTAATGTAAGCTCAAGAGTGCTGGTTGGTTTCAATGTGCCTGAGGAAATGATTAACTATCATGTACAATTAGAGTTAATAGGGGTCCAATCAATGATAAAGTCTTAGTCCTGTTGTTATACAATAACAGTGGACTCAGTAGTGACGGCTGTAGTCGGAGCCGTCAGAGCAGTAGCGTGCTTTCAGCCACATACCTGTGATGTAACTCTACCTGCATGTGTTTTCTCCAGTGACGCTGGTTGAGAGCAGCAGCACTCCCAGTGGCCTGGAACTGGTCAGCTCTTACCAGACCAACAGAGTGGGAGACCCCATGGACCTGGTGGCCCTGGCAGCTCAAGTACAGAAGGTGTGCACAAAGTTGTTTTTTTTTTTTAAATTGTCATTTACTGTCACGTTATTTTCATGTAAAATTGAATCGTCCTGGAATGTTTGTCTTGTGTTTTGCAGGGAGATGATTTCGTAAAAGCCAACGCGTGCAACAGACTGACGGTCATCGCGGATCAGATCAAGTACCTACAAGAACAGGCCCGAAAGGTGAAGAGCATCAACAAAAATGGCAGCGCAGAAGTCTGACAAAATGTGTTTTTTCTATCCTGTTCTTAAACTGTGGTTGTTTCTCTCTTTGTAGGTTTTAGAAGACGCAAAAAGAGATGCGGACCTCCACCATGCTGCCTGTAACATTGTGAAAAAGCCAGGCACCATGTATTACCTCTACGAGCGGCCGTCCGGACAGAAATACTTCTCCATCATCTCTCCTAAGGTTGGTATCACACTGATAAGATACAAGCCTCCCTTACTGTTGCGTTACTCTGGGAAGGAGTTACAAAATGCAGCATACCTGTTACCCAACATACCCTCAGAGAGAGTCCTGTACTGACCTGTCAGTGCTGGACGTCACGCCGCAGACCTGTTGTTGATGTTCAAAGTCCAGGTGGCGGTTTAGGCTGGATTTGGCTGGTTAGAGTAGCTGCATGTTTTTGGAAATATAAACCTGTTTCTGAATATGAAGGATTCAGATTTTTGAAGAGTAAATGTCAAGGAATTAATCACTTGTAACACAGTACTATGAGGTTTTTTGTTCGTTTGTTTTAGAGTTTTAACCAAATACGAACACAAGTCCATTTAAAAAAAAAAAAAAAAAAATGTCATGAAAATAATTTTTTGATTATTTAAAAAAAAAAAAAAAAAGGTGACAAATTCCAGTTTCCTACAGTACTGCTTGTGTTTGTTCAAAACCCAAAGAGTTGTCATTTAACTTCCAACAATAATTAATCAAAGCAGCATGTAATTATTGCAGCTGTAAAATAAAAAAACAAAAAATAAATAAAAGTTTATTGTCCATAGCACGTGGCATCTTCAAGGAAAACTAACACGGTTTCCCTCTTTATGTGCTTAAACTCACATTAATCTTTTCTTCCCTCCTCTGCAGGAATGGGGCCCAGGCTGCCCTCACCCATTTGTCGGTGCCTTCAAACTTCAACACGACATGTCCTGGACCCCCGTAGACCAGGTGGAGAGGCGGGATGCAGAGATAGCCATCATGGACAAACTTATCAGCCAGCAGACGGCCTTACCGGCGTACACAGGACCCAACTTCAAAGGCCTCACTGACTGAAGGACTGCAGAAGTTGGACTTAACGGCTCAGTGGGAATCAGAAATCCAAACGTGTATTGAAGCGGCTGATATCAACGATGCAAACAGTGACTTTCTTATGGTGGCCTAAATGCATGATCAGCTGGTGGAATGTTTTTTTTTTTTTTTTAATTCTTATGAGAACAGTGTTGGATGTGGCTGATCAATAATCAGCTCAAAGATGGGATTTAGTCATGGAGTCTTAATTAAAACAAACACAACTAAATGCTTACATTTAGTGCTACTCACTAATTTATTGTGAAGAGTTCTAAATATATAAAATGCTCTATTGTTTGCTATATTATGACAACCGGTTGTTGCCCAGCAGAGAGCTGCATTAGACAGCAGGCAGCCACTTGTAAAAACATTGCTCCTTGGCAGTACGTGAATTAAAAAACTCCAGAGGGTATATATTAAATATATCCTCTAACTGTGATTTTGTATGTTACAACTTCTTCCTGTTTACCTCGAATAAATGATGTATTTTGTGTTTTATTTATAGATTCTAAGCAACACAAATTCAGCTGTTTGGACTGTTTTCAATAAATAACTTACAAAATATTTAATTTCAAACATTTGTTTAATTTCAGGTAGAGAAAATTCCAGTAATAAAGTGCAATTATTTTATTTTAAATCAACTGTCCTTCGTAATTTAATTTCACATGGACAAAATGTGGACGTTAAAAGTCAGCTTTTTTTTTTTTTTTGGTAGTTTAAAAACGAGCCAGCGAGCTGCTTCGTGGTCAGCTGGGAGGGTCTTCCTCTGAAGCTGTGATTGTCAGTAGGTAGGAACCTATGTGAGGAAGCAGCAGCCAGTTATCTGTGGCGATGCTGAAGTGCACGGCGTCCTCCTTGGAGCTGATCTTCAGCAGAATGTGGCACTGTGGTGGGAGGAAAAGAAGCAATTTAAACTCTTCTTTGTTGGACGGGTCTGATACCAGGTAGGGGAGGAAGTGCGTCTCCACCAGCGCATTCAGAGCCGCCTCCTTCAGCTGGCAGCAGAACAGACTGATGGCGCTTTCCCCATTCTCAGAGCAGATATCCTCCCACAATCCTTCAAACACGCTCAGCCTGCCGCCTTCTCCCCAGCTTGGAGGTGAAGGCAGCAGCATGAAGGTCTGCTCGAACGCTACGTGGACGTCGGGCACAGCGGTGTGCCAGGACAGCCCGTCCTGGGTGGTGACGATGGCGCTGGCGTGGAGGGTGGTGGGATACGGCCGCCTGGGCTTCAGTCTCAGCTTCACTGTGGGTGATGGCTTCTCTCTGAAGAGACATGGGACACTAATGTCTTGCAGCTTTTCGTAGTGATCGTCGGTGAGGCTGAAGTGGAGGCGGATGCTGAAGAGCTGGTCAAAGCGGGAGTCGTGACTGTCGATGTGAGCCAGCTGGTACTTTAAGGTGAGCTCTGAGGCGAAGCTCGGGTCATTGAACTGAGCTCTGTAGGCTTCCAGTGCTGCATTTGCCTCATCTGGGCATTTTTCCACCTTATTCTCGTCGAAGTCGCCTTCTTTTGATTCTTGTCGTGGCTCAGATTGGGCTTCCGTCAGCCTGAATATCGCTCTCTCAGTCTGGTGAATGGTTAGCAGGCTCGTCAGTCCTTCGCCCTCAGACATGAGGGAGGACAGCGATCGCTTCTTGACCTGCCGCTCCCCGTTGGTTGCACCCTGCTTCATCACTCCGGCCAGCTTCTCCCTGGACAGCGTGGTGAGGAGGGTGTAATAGAGACGGGCGTGGTCCTGGATGTCTGTGTCTCTGTAGCACCTGGCGAGGTGCTGCAGGATGTCGGCCAGTGGGATGAGCAGTGAATCCAAGCTGGGGTGGAGGAGCAGGCGACGACAAACCGCCAGCAAGCCGTTTCCCTGACGCCAGTCGCCGCTCTCACACAGCGAGGAGAACGACGGCGTGATGACTCTGGACAGGAAGCTGAGGGTGCTGGTCTGGGGGATTTCTCCTTCCTCTGCGACTCGGACCAGCATCTTAAGGTGCCACTTCAGGTCTTTTGGGTTGAGTTGGGTGATCGAGGTGATGACCCTCTGTACAGCTGTCAGAAGCCCCACAGCCCAGTCAGACTCAGGTAGTCTGTCTTGGGTCTGGTCGGCCAGGTTGATGAGGTGGGGGGCCAGGTTGGTGTGGTGGAGGTAGAGCTTACACAGCTGCTCGGTCAGGCTGGTCGAATAGCGCTCCACGTGGTTGAAGTAAAAAAGGAAGAGGAAGGCAGCTCTGAAGAAGGTGACAACGATCTCCCTGCTGCCTCCGTTCTCCACAATGTGCAGCAGAGCGGTGAGGTGGTCGTGGAGGTATTCCAGGCCCTGGCCCTCCTCCGCCTCCTCCCCCTCCTCCAGGTGGACCAGACACAGCAAGTTGAATCGGGACAGCAAGGTGGCGCTGTCGTTGAACACGGTGGGCGCCAGGGCCGAAGCCAGACGAGGAGTCAGCAGCACCGGCAGGGTCTCGTCGCCTGAGCTGATAGGCCGGTTCTCCGGAAAGTGCAGGATACAGTCCAAGTAGAAAAGCTTCTCGTGCGTACTCAGACGCGGGTGCTGGGAGAGAACCACCAGCCGCTTGAGCATAAAAGCTTCGTCTTCGGCGCTAAACAGGCTGTCTGTGAAGGCGCACTTCATCAGCAGAGTGGAGTGAAGGAGGCAAGCCTGAAGGGAGGAAAGTTGATTTAGTGTGAATTAGAAAATCTGATAACATCAACAACTGACTTTTAATTTTGAACTTAATTCACACAAACCTCGCTGGTGCCCAGCAATCGCAGCAGTTGAGCTCTGAATATGGCCGGAGGGATACCAGGCACCATGGCAACCACCTCTGTCAGTCTATGTAACAGTGCAGCTTGACACAGAGGGGTGAGAAGGTAGGACTCCTCCAGCAGGGACGAGAGGACCGATCGCAACTCCTTGCAATCAGGTCCGGTCTGTAGAGTCGGCACCACACCCATGGGACCCAGGATGAGAGAAGCCAGTATAGCTGAGTCCTTGTTATTCATCAGGCCTGAGTCTTGGTCTGCTTCCCACGCAACTGATGTAATCCCTCCCAGGAGAGCTTTGAGATGCTCGGCGCCTGCTCCCTTTTCCTGTGTGAGCTGATACACTGCGTTTCTTAACGCCAGCGTATGAAGTGCTGCAAAGGGTTGGTGAAGCCTGGATGATTCCAGCTGCCGGCGGCCAGCCAAGAGCTCGAGGCGCTGGGAGAGAAGGCCGGGACAGCAGGCCTCCAGCTCCCGCAGGCAGTCGCAAGCTGTGGCGCAGACAGAACGCAGGGTACCATCACTGTGGAGGTCGCTGGTGTCTTGGACTATCTCAAGGAGCAAATCCAGAAAGTCTTGGCTCCCACGGGAGCGACCGCTTACACAGGAAGTACAGATGAGGACGGAGGTGAGGGCCAGGAGGAGGTGGCAACGAAACGCGACGAACTTGGGAGGACACTGGACGAACACTGACATGAGCTCCAGGGCCGTCTCCTCCCCCACGGAGTCTGAAGGACACAGCAGAGCCGGGTGTTCACATAGCGGAGACAACAAGAGGACCTGGGAGGCAGACGAGAAGAACAACTGAGATTAGATTATACGCACGACTGGAAAACGAAAACACCAAAGACAATACAGTAGTTGATACAAGTAACTGCGCACACACTGATGATGTAAAAATAAAAGCAGTAATTACACAACAGCCTCTTGCACAGCAAATGTACCAGGATGCTCAGATACATGTTACTCTGTTCTCTTCAGACATGCGATATAGGAAATAGCTGCTTCATGAATCTGTTAAAGTGACAACATTGTGTCATTCAGAAGGTTTTGTTGTTGTTTCTCACAGTTTCATTCTCATACCAACTACAATAATCCATCCATCCATCATCTATACACCGATTAATCCTCAGTAGGGTCATGGGGGGCTGGAGTCTATCCCAGCTGACTCAGGGTGAAGGCAGGTTCACCTGGACAGGTAACCAGTCTATCACAGGGCTACACTTAGAGACAGACAACCAAGCACACTCACATTCACACCTACGGACAATTTACAATCACCAATTAACCTCAACATGTTTTTGGACTGTGTGGGAGGAAGCCGGAGAACCCGGAGAGAACCCACGCTGCACGGGGAGAACATGGAGACTCCACGCAGAAAGATCCCGGGTGTCCTCACCGGGACGCGAACCGGCAACCTTCTGCGAGGCAACGATGCTAACCATCGAGCCACCTTGCAGCCCCACTACAATAATAATAATTAATAATCAATCAGATTTTTGTATTTTTCTAGACACTCAAAGACGCTTTACACTGTCAGTTATTCATTCACACACATTCATTCTGGTGGTGTTAGCTATGATTGGAGCCACAGACTGACAGAGGCGTGGCTGCCATTCTGCACTTACGGCCCCTCCGACCACCACCTCAAAACAATCCATTCATATGCGTTCACACCAGCCCAAGGACACAACGAGCATGACACAGGTTACAAGGCGGAATCGAACCGCCAACCTCTGGATCATTGACCGACCCGCTCTTCCACCTGAGCCACAGCCGCCCAAAATGACAGTGAGAGACACTGCAAACGGTAAATGGTCTGACTTATATAACAATGTACACACAACCACGTGATGTACGATACATAATAATCCAGTAACAAACAAAAGACGACATTAAAACTAACAGCAAGTTATCAAACTTTCTAAATACCTCACAGTATAGTTTCTCTAATCAGTGAAATGTCAGCCCACGTGGGAAGATAATCTCACAACAACTTTACCAACAGTAAATCCAAACATCCTGACAGCTGTGATGGAGCTCAGGATCAACAGGTTTGATTAGGATCTAACTACCACTACTTCTCTTCATCTTTCACTGTCACTGATTTATTATAAATACCAGAATGAGAAATACTTCATTGATCCCAGAGGGGATATGTTCCAGCTGCAAGCCTTAGAAACATAAATAGTACAAAAATATATAGATTAAAACATAGGTTGAAAAGTATGTCCTTAAAAATAAAAGCATAAGTAGGAAACAAATGTACAAATACACTTGATTATGAGTTGTTTAGATTGTTTGATAAGCTGCTGCTGGTTTAGATTTAATCTTCTGTTTGTTATTGCATTATTATGCTTTATACATCAGAATACCGTAACTTTACCGGATTGATGAAGCAGCAAAGTAACGTGTCAGAGAACTGCTGACCTGAGCTCAGTTTAAGGGCTGCGGTGAGAAGCGGTTCCGGACAACAACCACAATGTTGAAGCTGAACTACATTTATAAGGCCTTAACTTCTCCTCTCTAGTTATTCTTGTTCACCTTGACGCTGTAACTGGCTCTGTCGTCCCGCAGCTCCCGGAGCAGCTCCGCCAGGAAAGCCTCCGCGGTGGTCCCGGACAGGAAGCGAGACGGACTGCGGGAGAAAGCGGAGATCCTCTCGGCCCAGTTCGCCGCCATCATCGGTCCTTAACCCTACCAGTGTAAACGTATCATCTCAAGAACACTTTAAAAAGTTTGTCGCCCCCGGTAAACTTTTATTTTAAAATGAAACGAGGCTGCGCTCGCCGACATCCAACCTCCACTGAGAGGGTGCATCAACGACTTCCGTGTTGTGTCACGTGAATAGACAGTAACGTCATTACATCAGCGCCCCCTGCTGCTCCGGAGGCGACTTCCGCATTTTCGTCGTCTTTTAATTTGATTGGCAGTTGGCAAACAGCAAAAAAAATAAATTAAATTAAATTAAATTAAATTAAATTAAACTAAATTAAATTAAATTAAATTAAATTAAATTAAATTAAATTAAACATAAAACCAAAAACTGCGTTCTCTTAATTAGTCCCTTTCTCTTCACCTTCTTAATTTTGTGACTTTATGCTCCTTGTGATGCCTCCAAGCAGACTTCTCATAGTGACGCTTATATTAGCTTTCTGATATATGGAATGTGGATGTGCAATATCCTCTACATGTGAAACATATTATATCAGTACATCACTAGTTCCTTGTGCAGCAAGGTACCTGTTTGGGTTTTTGGTTCATTTTTATCAGCGCTCCCGCTTTTGATTTATCTGGACTGTAGTTGGAGTCCTTAACTCACCAATTTTCTGACTCAATGGGGTAAAATTAAGCTGTTCAGCAGATAATCTGGACCACTTAATCTTCCACAATGTAAACTAAAATGTTTTGGACAAAATTATGTTGATGTTTTTTGTAGTTTTTACAAAAGTTGTTTTCAGGGAACATTCTGAAGAACTGAACAGAAACTGATTATAGCTGGAAAAAGTTAATTCGTGATGCATAGGAAAATAAAAAAATGACACTTGTTTTTGGAAATTATTTTGTATGTGACATTGTGTCTGACATTGTGCAGCAACAAACAGCCAAGTTTATCTGATTTCTTAATGGTCAAACTGAAGGACTCAACCCGAGATGTAACATCATTTACCTGCAGCTGGTAAACAGCTCACCTGTCTGACTACAAGCCTGGTTGGATGCAGTTTGCAAACCCACCACTAGATGGCACTACAGCCTTCACACTGGGCCTGTGATGCAAAATGCAACATGCTGCTGCTGCACTGAGTTCAAAAGTGACACTTGTGTCTTGGTGCCTTCAAGTGCTGCAGAAATGAGTTTGTTTACTTGTTCATAGCGACTGTGGCTTGTTTGTGGTGTCAAAGCAACCAGAAGTCTCTGTGACAGCATGTTAACTCGCAAAACAGCCGGCAGGTTTGGAAGGAAAGTTAGGCATGCAAGTGAAAGAGGTTGAGAGCAAAATAAAAGTAGATGCAACATGCTTCAAAGTTGGTAAAAATGGAATTAGTGACACATTTATTGGATGTAGAGCTGCCTTTGTTTTCTTCCAGTATGGGTAACACCTGCAGGCACCTGAAAAATAATGTCAATTTAATTCCAGATTACATTTTTTTTTCAATTTCTGTAAAATAAATTGTACAAATTCAATTCTTATTCTTCTTCTTCTTCTTTTTTTTAAATACTGCACAATACTTCTCTCTACTTCTAGCCATCTTTGGTTTGTTTTCATGGAGGTGCAGGAATTTACATTGCAGTGAAAAATGAGCCCACAGTGAATTAAAAATGTGACCGGAGCAAAAACAACAACAACAACAACAACAACGCCTTGAAACTGCTCTGGGTGCCTTTTAGGATGTAGGAAAGACTTCTACTACACCGGCAGTATAAAATGCAGATGATCTACTATCAGATATAAGAACCTAAGTTTTGTTTTCCACTGGTCTGTCTGATATCCTCACTGTCCCAACCTTTCCATGTTTGCTTGTAGTAGCGTCTTTTTGCCTCGAGGTGGCACCAGATGAAGCCTTGCATTAGTTCAGCAGCTCTTGTATTGACTGATTGGATTTTATTGATGCGTCGGAGGTGCTGGCTCATTAACAGCTGCTTGGCTCACTTTGTCACTCTGCTGAGATGCATCAAGCCGACAGTGTTTTTGCTGCCTGGTTGCAACATTTTCAGTTTTGTCTTTTCCTCCAGGTCTGACTATTTACATCTTTAATTTCTTTACTTAATGTGTTATTTCTTGCCTTCAGGGTGATATACAACCATTTGTTAGAGTCCCACAAAATCAGAGAGTAATTAGTGTAAAGCATTAGTTGTTTGCAGACTGAGGGACATACACAGTAACTGGCTTCATTTTTTAAAATGATTGTATCAGGCTCTTACTGTTACACTGAATTTAAACTTAAAGTATTGACAGTTTCACACTGACTTCATTGTAATACATTTAATGAGGCCTTTAATCCTTCATATTTGAGTGTAATTTACTGCTCTTTCTGCCATTTTTCCCTCAGCATTCTGATCTTATGAGAGTTTCGTGGTTTTGCTTGAAGATTTGGGGGATTTTTCATTTTGTCCTTCACTGATTTGTAAGAGTTTCAGTCTTGGGTTCTTCTTTAACTCGTATCTGCAGACGTTTCTGTGTGGACTTTGTGTTTTTACTCTTATCTGAAGTCATGCAGGTGAACTGGAGAGCTGTCCTGTGATGGACTCATGAGCTGTCTGTGTTGGTTCCTGCGACTCCTGTTGGGATAGTTTCCATGAACCAGAAAAGGCCTGGTTCATGGATGAGGATGGATGGTGAACCACTGGCACAATAAATTAGCGTTTGAGATTTTTCTCAATTAATGAATTCTCTGTGGCCCATGATGCTGCAGCTACAAGAACAAGGCATGACTTTGGCTGTGTTGTTCCTGTTTGATTGCAGTAAAGTGTTTGTGTATTTTCTTTTGTCGCACCACTAAAGAGAAAATAAACCATATAGTTGGTGATTTTTTTTTTCTTTTTCTTTTTTTCCCTCATATAAAAATGGCAGCTTGATAACAGGCATCAGACCAACGGTGCTGTAAAATGGCTCGACAGCTTCCTCTGGTGGAAATAACGTGACAACGTTGTCGCTATGATCACTCGCACGTTTCATTTTGATCAATTGTGACATAAAATCCAATCAGAGCTTCAGCATACGAATCGTTTCTAACTACAAAGGCTCTGATGCTTTACTCGAGCTGTTTGACTTCATGTCTTCTTCGCACTAAACAACTGAACGGCTGCATGTTCTGAACACATGTGCTGGAAAAGTTTGCAGCGTTTGTGAAAATGTATAAATTAACTGGACTGTGCGTCATTTTCCAGAATTCCATTTGTGATCGTTATATTTCTCGTTCTGTCTCTTGGGCTGAGATGAACTATGCATGTTGTGGTTTCTTTGTCTCTCTCTCACACACACACACACACACACACACATTGTAATTATCGCCACTGTTATGCATCATTTTTTTAAACTAGTTTGACAACTCTAACCCCAAAAAGCTGTTGTTCCATGTGTTGTGTTCAATGCGGTTCCGTGCTCATGCTGTGAAAAGGACTGTCGCTATTGTTTTGTACAATCATTGTTTTGTTTTGTGCTTTTTCTTTCCCCAGAGGCCGTGAGTTCGACTATGAGTCTTACAGAGAAGACTTCTATGACAGGTGAGACGGATGGTGACGTTTGTGAAGCTGCAGTCTGGGTTTGAACACATGAGCGTTTGGTTGTTCTTTTGTGTCAGTTATGGTAAATGGTCTGCACTTATATAGCGCCTTTTTCTACCTTAGCGGTACCCAAGTTTCGCATTCATACACACATTCACACACCAATGGCGACAGAGCTGCCATGCAAGGCGCTAATCTGCCATTGGGAGCAACTTCGGGTTCAGTGTCTTGCCCAAGGACACTTTGACATGTGGGGGGGGGGCCGGGGATCGAACCACCAACCTTGCCATCAGTGGACAACATGTTCTACCACCTGAGCCACAGCTATCAGCACAGAGTTAATCCTGTTGACCTCTCAGAGGCAGAATATTGTTCAAGCCAGTCGAACATGCCTCACTAACCACAGAGCAAACATGGGTTTAAGGCACCTTCCTGGTTTAATGTGAACATGGAAACAAAGATGTCCTCTAAAGTTTAACAACCAAATACAACATGTCCATCAGACTTCATGTGAGCAGGATTTATTCAGTCTGCAACCAGATGTGCAGACACTTGACAAGGAATTAAAGGAAGACAGCTGATGACCATAAATCAAAGGTATCAGGAAAATTTAAAAATATAGGGAAACCTTGAGTTTTGGGTCAGTGGGAAGAATTTTAATCTGAAAAGTTTTGGTGGAGTTAAACTTCAAATAGTGGGCAACAGATTCCTAAACGAAAGAATTACATTCAAATAAATGCAGTGGCGTAAATTACGGACTATAAGCCACTACTTTTTTTTTTTTTTTTAACATACTTTGAACACTGCAGCAACGATGCGGCTAATTTATGGATTTTTACGAATTTGCCTCGAGACGAAAGTGACACTGAGAGCGACAATGAAAGAGAGACTGAGGAAGTGTGTGACGAAGTTATTCTGAGGCTGTTCGACACTGAAGAAGACGACGTTAGTGGTTTTAGTGCAGGAGGAAGATGAAGATAGCGATCAATGACTTTTCCTGTTAGGCGACTGTTTGGAAAAAAAGCATTTACGGTACATATTTGTGTATGTTACCGGTACGTATTTAATTAAAAGTTTAAAAAAATCATTCTGTGTAAATATCTCATGTTACAACGTGGACACCTGCAGCTTGTAGACAAGTGAGGCCTGTATATGTACAAAACTTGTTTTCTTTTTAAAGTTAGTGGGTGCGGCTTATATTCAGGTGCGCTCAATAGTCCAGAAATTACCGGAATTAAAGACTAAAAATCACCTAGCGTGGTAATTAAAGAGGGAAAGAAAACTTAACAAATTGCGAATATTTCTTCAATTTTCCAAACGTAGCCTCTTGTTTCCATTGGCTCTCATGAGCCTTTCCTATACTCTAATTCAGAGGTAACTAAAACTGAGTTTGACTTTGGCTTAAAAGCTGACATGTACGAGGTGTGTCAAAAGTTCCAGGACAGATATATTTCAAATCCAAACTACAAGTGTTCCCCTTTGAAGTAATCCCTCTGGAGTCTAACATCCTTCCTCAGCCTTCTCTGCCTTCACGCCGCCATGCACTCCTGGAAGGATTCTTCCAGGATCCTCTGTCG